AATTTAAAATTTAAAAAATTATTTTATTAAATATTAATATATTAATTAAATATATAAGTTTTTAAAAAATTTAAATATTAATATTTAAAAAATAATTTTACTTTTTAAATATAGATTAAAACTTTAATTATTTTTAAGATTAAAAAATTAGACACTCTAGCTTCTTTAATTATTTATTAAATTAAAATATTTCTAAATTACACAAAGCCCCACCAGCTTCATCTTCTTCCCTAGTTACTCTTTTTTCTCAGTCATCTTCCTTTACTATGGTTTTCTTCATTCGTTGTCGGTGAAATCAAATAGCTTTGGCTAGGAATTCCGAAAATGGAGGAAGAGACAGGAAGATGGATTATATATTCAGTTCATCAATTGATGAGTCAATTGATGAGTCTTCGCTGGAACAAGAAGGTTCCTTAAACAAAAAGCTGATATGAGAATAAATAAGCCAAGAAGCATATTTATTTGTCATTTCTTTTTTATTTTCACCGTTGACACGTGTTCATTAGGGAGAGGAGAATGTCTAACGGTTTGACAGAGGGGAGAAAATATATGTAATGGGCTGGGATTAGGAAGCGTGTTGAGAATTGTATCTTCTTCCTTGTCTCTCTCTATAATCCCTCAATATCTCCTCTATATTCACCATTGGAGCAATATATCGAAGACCATTCTTCTTCTTCATTATTGATTTCCCTTGTATTACTCTGCTTTATTAACCATGGCATCAGTTGGTATTAGAGCAATTCTTTCCTTGGCCATGACGAAGACATTTGAGCAAGATATGCTTAACTTTATGAAGGAACTTTCTAAAAAATAGAAGGAACTGGCAACAAGATTGAAGCAGGTTGAGGAAAACCAAGGGAAATCTTTGGTTGACATCCATGCTAGGATTTCAAGACTCTGGGTCTAGCAAACCCAGATCATGACTTAGTTGGAAGCAAATATTGCAATAACTTCGGTGGCTAATAATGGAAGTAATGGATAGTTTGCTACGGTAACAGCTCAAAGGGTAGGTTCGTTAATAGCAAAGGTAGTTAGAATCGAGTTTCCTAGATTTGACAGTGACAATTTGAAGGATTGGCTATACCATTACAACCAATACTTTAGAATTGATGGAACCCTAAAGGAGCACAAAGTTCATATCGCCTCCATTAATTTGGAAGGACGTGATATGCTGTGGCACTAAACTTTTTTGGAAGTAAAAGGGGAGCAGGTGCTTTCTAATTAGGAAGCATATGTCGAGGGCTTGCATGCTTAGTTTGGGAGTAAGGTTTATGAAGACCACATGGTAGATCTAATCAGGCTAAAGCAAGTTAGAATAGTAGAGGAATACTAAGAGCAATTTGACACTCTATTTCCAAAAGCAAGTATTACTAAAACTCAAAGCCGTAGCATTTTCTTGAGTGGGTTGAAGAGAGACATTAAAATTGGTGTTAGGATGTTTAAGCCAAAATCCCTCTTTGATGCATTTGCTTTAGCCAGATTACATGAATCATCCATCCAAGAAAATCAATTACTAGCCAAAAGCTCCAAACCTTCTACACCATTGTTGCCTAACCAAACACTTTAAAAGCATCAAACCCCAAGGTAAATCCTAGCAATTCCCCTCACATGACTCCAAGTAACACCCTTACTAAGCCAAACACCACTCAAAGACCATACAAGCCACTCACTAAGCAAGAAATGGAGATTAAAAGGCAAAAAGGATTATGCTACTAGTGTGATGAAAAGTATTCACAAGGCCACAAATGTAAGCCGATGCAGCTTTATGTTATAGAGTTGGCTGATGAAGAAGAGGAAGGGGAGGTGTTTGAGGAGGCTGCTAAAGAATTGCTAGAAGAAGCAATGCCACATATTTTGGTGCTAGCATTATCTGGACCTACAAAGAGAATTGATAAGATAATGCGAGTGACTGGTCATGTCAACAAAAGGCCAATTCATATCTTAATTGACTCTGGTAGCACCCATATTTTTTTAGATATTAATGTTTCTAAGAAGTTTGGATGCAGGCTATCCCCCAGGGACCCATTAACTATAGATGTTGTTAATGGGAATTCCTTGACTTGCTCGAGTATATGTCCTGGTTTCACATGATGGTTACAAGGTAAGCCATTTTATACTGATTCCCTTATACTGCCATTAGGGAATTGTGACATGGTCTTAGCATTCAATGGCTAGAAACTGTGGGGGATATTACATGGAACTTCAAATCTCTCAAGATGTTGTTTACTTTTGAGGGACATAAGTTTGTTTTGAGGGGTATGTCTAATGTGCAAGTGTCTTCCATTCATTCTAAAGGAATGAGTAAACTCTTGAAAGGAGACTCCATAATCAATAGTCACCAGATTTATGGGTTGCAAGTGAGGGCTTACACACCTAAGAACTCTCAAGTAACCTTGCTTGATCATGTAGGACGAATTAGTCAAATGGAAGCAATTCCTTCTGAAATTGATTGCTTATTATAGAAATATCAAAAGATCTTTGAGGAGCCAAAATCTCTACCTCCCCACAAGACTCATGATCATAGAATCTTGGTTAAGGAAGGAATAGCATCAATCAACATTAGGCCTTACCATTATATACGTGTGCAGAAAGATGTTATTGAATAGCTAACTAGGGAGATGTTAGCTTCTAGAATTATTCAGAATAGCATCAGTTCTTTTTCTTCCCCTGTGGTATTGGTGAAGAAGAAAGATAGGGCATGGAAGTTCTGTGTGGACTACCAAGAACTCAACAAGCACACCATTAAAGATAAGTATCCAATTCCTATGATTGAGGAATTACTAGACGAGTTGCAATGATCCACTATTTACTCTAAAATTGATTTGCGTGCTGGATACCACCAAATTAGAATGCATCCAGATGATGTACCAAAGACAGCCTTTAAGATGCACAAGGGTCATTATGAATATTTAGTAATGCCCTTTGGGCTTACTAATGGACCATTCACTTTCCAATCATTAATGAATGAGGAACATGTAAAGCATTTGGAAAAGGTATTTCAGTTGTTAAAAGCTCACCAATTATTTGCTAAAGCTAGTAAATGTTCATTTAGCAATAGTAGGGTAGAGTATTTGGATCATTTCATATCTGCTGAAGGAGTATCCATTGATCCTAGCAAGGTTGAAGTAGTGAAGAATTGGCCAATTCCTAAGTCTATTAAGGAGCTCCGAGGTTTCTTGGGCCTCACTAGATACTATGGAAGATTTGTGAAGAATTATGGCAGTATTAGCAGACCCCAAATTGATTTATTAAAGAAAGAAGTCTTCAATTGGAGTGAATAGGCAACATAAGCATTTAATTCTCTCAAGGAAGCCATGATTACTACTCCAGTTCTAACTTTACCTGATTTTTCCCAAGAGTTTGTGGTGGAGACTGATGCTAGTGGGGGAGGAACAGGTGCAATAATGATGCAAAAAAGGCATCCTATTGCCTATATCAGTAAGGCATGGTCACAACGGCACCAAGCTTTATCGGTGTATCAGAAAGAACTATTGGCCTTGATATATGTTGTTATCAAATGGAGCCATTATCTCTGAAGAAGGCATTTTATTGTCAAAACTGACCATGAGAGCTTGAAATATTTATTGGAGTAAAGAATTCATACTAGTCTACAACAAATGTGGGTAGCCGCTCATGGGGTTTGATTTTACCATTAATTACAAGAAAGGCAATGAGAATATGGTGGCAGATGCACTCTCCAGGTTGCCTAATAGTGAGCGACTAGTTATGGCTATTTCTAACATATCGCCTTCCTTGTATGAAGACATTAAAGTTGCTTGAAGCATAGATCCAAAGCTTCAGAAACTAATTAAGAAGCTTAGAAATGGCCAGATGTAGAACACTCCATTCACATGGTCTACAGATCAACTCAGGTGAAAGGGAAGATTAGTGGTAAGATGTACTAAAACACTAAATAGCTAGATAATTAGCTCAATGCATGACAGTGCATTAGAAGGACACTTTGGTGTATGGGCCACTGCAAAGAAACTAATGGCTTTGTTTTATTGGAAGGGATTGGAGAAAGACATCAAGAAATATATCCGTGAATGTGATATTTGCTAGAGATGCAAGTTTGAAAATGTGGTTGCCCCAGGCTTGCTACAACCACTCCCAATTCCAAATGGTGTTTGGACTAACATTACCATGGATTTTGTGGAAGGATTACCGAGATCAAATGGTAAGGGTGTTATTTTGGTTGTGGTGAACATATTGAGTAAATATGCTCATTTTATTGCCTTGTCACATCCCTATTCTGCGTTAACTGTGGCTCAATCCTTTATGGATCAAGTTTCTAAGCTTCACGGCCTTCCTAAGATGATAGTAAGTGATAGGGATCTAGTGTGCTTAAGCAATTTTTGGAAGGAACTTTTTAGGTTGTAAGGGGTCAACTTACATTATTCCACTACCTATCATCCCCAAATTGATGGTCAATCGAAAGTGGTTAATAGTTGTTTAGAAGGATATCTGAGGTGTATGACTAGTGGCAACCCACAAGAATGACAAAAGTGGTTAGCTCTAGCTAAATTCTAATATAACACCAATTATCATACTTCAACTCACCTTACTCCTTTTGAGGTACTCTATGGGTATGCACCACCTCTCCATATTCCATGTTTTGTTGGTGTTCTTCTATAAACATAATGGATAGGAGCCTAAAAGTAAGGGAAGCCATGATTCAGCAGCTCAAATTTCATTTATCAAACACTCAACAGAGAATGACACAAATGGCAAACAAGCATCGATTTGAAAGGGAGTTTCAAGTGGGGGATTGGGTTTGCTTGAAACTGCAACCATACAAGTAAGAATTTGTGAAACATCGGTCATCATATAAACTTTCACCAAAGTTTTTTGGACCATTCAAAGTGCCTGCTCATGCAGGAAAGGTTATACACACATTGGACCTTCCTCTTGGCACAAAAATTCATCCGACCGTCCATGTGTCACAACTTAAGAAGAAGGTTGGAACACACACTACAATTATAACAACTAGACCATCTAATCTCATTTCCACTCTATTACTTAAGCCAATTGCTATTCTTGATCAGAAAATGGTCAAGTGTGGAAATAAAGCAACCACAAAAGTATTAGTCCAATGGTCCAACTCTTTCCTTGAAAATGCAACATGGGAATTCCTCTTTGATTTACAATAAAAGTATCCAGATTTCCATCCTTAAGGACAAAGATGTCTTCAAAAGGGGATAAAGTTGATATAAGGATAAATAAGTCAAGAAGCATATTTATCTGTTGTTTCTTTTTTATTTTCATCGTTGACATGTGTCCATTAGGGAGAGGAGAATGTCTAACGATTTGACAGAAGGGAGAAAATATATGTAATGGGGCTGGGATTGGGAAGCATCTTGAGAATTGTGTCTTCTTCCTTGTCTCTCTCTGTAATCCCTCAATATTTCATCTTTATATTCACCATTGGAGCAATATATCGGAGATCATTCTTCTTCTTCATTATTGATTTCCCTTGTATTAATCTGCTTTGTTATCTAGGGCATCGGCAGCATCTACTTTGGTTTTCTTTTCCTTCCTTTCACTTCCCTTTTTCTAATGCTTCTCTGTCGCCCTTCTCCTCTTGAAATCTATTTCTCTTCTTGGTCTTCTTTCTTTTCCTTATCCTTCTTCGTAAATTTCCAAATCTGGGTGATAGAACCCAAATTTTTGGGTTCAATGAAACTGATAATTATGGGTTTGTGGAACCTAGATTGAACTAGATATTTCTGGGTTCTTAGAAGGAGTAATTGTTGGAAAGAATTCATAGTTGTTCTAATTGTACCTGTGCTTATCTCAACCTTGCTGGAATCTAATGCCACTAGCTGTGCTTTGTTGGTCCTCTATTCCAAATCAGGTAGTGCTCTAACTTGTGATTAGCATCTTCTGTTTAATGTTGAAACTGATATTAATTGATAGTTTAATTCCCCATAAATTTGTGTTGTACACTATCTTCATTATCTAGCTTGGATTGCTAGAAGGAATAGTGTTTGAGATGCTCTAATTCCTGCTTTAGTTTTCATATTTATTCAGTTGAGAGCTTTGGTAATTTTGGGTTTCTATATTTGTTGCATTTGGAATTGATGGATTAAGATAGGACTACAAACTGAAATGATATTAAGGAAGGGGGAATAGCAAAGAAACTTAGTCTTTATTTCAAATTTCCCAGTGTTTATTAATTTTAAGCTTACAAAAGTTTCTCCTTGCTTTTTTTTTTTTTTGTGATTTTTTATTTTTGTGCTTAATTTTAATTTGATTTTGTCCAACCCTGTCCCCAATCTATTTCTTGGGCTAAGATTTTTGGCTCGTTGGTGTTGATTTATAGTTTCTAATGTTAAGTTTGCTTCTTGTGATTTCTTGTATATTACTTCTTCTTCATTAGAAAGGACAATTTTAGAATTCTTATTGTGTTTCCTCTAGGAATGGCAACAGGTCCCCACGGGGGCAGGGATCCCCTCCCCATCCCCATCCCCATCCCCGTCAATAACTGGTATAGGGATCTCTACGAGGATTTTTGGCGGAAGAAAAAACATAGCCTCTATCCCCATACCCGTGGGGAATAATAAATCCTCGCAGGTATTCGAAGTCCCTACCAAATAAAACTCAATGCTCGTTTCTCGTTTGAGAAATTAACTAAAGATAGAACAAATTAAGAGTTTGAATGAGCCTCAAAATAACAATATAATTGTCGTTCGTTGCGAATGCGAGAAAGAAGCTACGCAGGCATGTAAACAATAAAAATCGCATTCTGACAATTTTGCGAACAATCGGAGGGAAAATGAAATCAGAAATAATAAGGCCAAAAGAATGAGATCTGCTTCACCTCAAAACACTACTAGAAAAATAATGTATACGGACCGACCATATACAGACCAAATATTGTCAGTCCGAAAAAATATATATTCGAACCAATATCGGTCTGAATATAGTCAGGGGGAGAAAATATACTTAATGAACATATTCGGACTGGTATCGGTCCCTATATTTATGGCGGGATCCACAGTGTAGGCGCGCCAATAATATTCGGACCGTTTTCGGTCCGAATAGTATTTCTGAAAAAAATAAATATTAAATACCAAAAAATATGAATAAAATATTATTTAAATAAATATATATGGATCGTCTTCGGTCTGTATATATCGATTAGAGAATACAAAATTTCATTTTTATATTTGGACCGGTTTCGGTCCGTATATTTATTATTTTTCGTGAAAAATGAAGATTAAATGACAAAAATTAGGAATTAATTATTATTTTTAATGAAAATATACGGACCAGGATCGGTGTGTATAAGGGAATCTCTGAATTGATTGGACGCTGGGTCCCACTGACATTTTTTTTGGACCGGGATCGGTCTGAATAAGGCTGCACACAGCCTTCTTCCCTTCGTTTCGCCCGTCCCCCCCATTCTGCGATTTCTCCACAATTTTCTTCTGTTTTTTCTGTCTTTTTTCTTCCTCTCCACTGCAAGCTTCTCCT